TCCATCTATCTATCTATCTATCTATCTATCTATCTATCTATCTATCTATCTATCTATCCATTTACCATCCATCCATCCATACATTTACTGTCTGTCTGTCTGTCTGTCTGTCTGTCTGTCTGTCTGTCTGTCTGTCTGTCTATCTATCTATCTATCTATGTATGCCATGGTGGAGCAGTGGTTAGAATTCATTATTGCAGGCTAATTCTGCCGACTGCCAGCAGTTCGATCCTGACCGGCTCAAGGTTGACTCAGCCTTCCGTCCTTCCCAGGTCGGTCAAATGAGGACCCAGATTGTTGGGGGGGGCTACAGGCTGACTCTATAAGTCTCTTAGAGAGGGCTGTGAAGCACGGTGAAGGGCTACTGTTATGGCTATCTGCAGAGAAGGCATCAAGCGAGGGGAGGTGGACTTTTCCAAGCTGGCCTCCAACTTCCAGGATGGGTCCAGAAAGCTTCCCAGCTCCCTCCCAAGATCTGGGGAACCCTTACCTGCACCATGACGTTGTCACTGGAAGCAGCTTCCTGGGCTTCATTGATCCACCGCTTGACCACATCGTAGTTGACCTTCATCATATGCTGGAAAAGAGGGCCAAGAATCAAGAATCTCCGCTGTGACTTTAGTCAAAAACTGATCTGGATTAATGCCCATCCTGAATCACGTTAAACAAGTGAGCTGTTCTGGGGGGTTGTAAGAGCCTGGAAGTTGAAGGACAGGAGGAATTCATCTGGAAGTGGTTCCATGTACGAACCAAGAGGACACGGTATCTGAAATCCAAAACTAGGGATAGGTTGCAAAACCTACTACCGTGTTTTCCCCAAAATAAGACATTTTTCCTCCAAAAGACGCATTAGGGCTTATTTTCCGGGTAGGGCTTATATTCGGGGAAATAAGGTACTAAATGGGTCCATCTGGCTGAACAATCTTAACTGGGGCTTATTTTTGGGGTGGGGCTTATATTTGAGGAAATACGGTACCAAATGCGTCCCTCTGGCTGGACCATCTTAACTGCTATGCTGGCCGAGGAATTCTGGGAGTTGAAGTCCACGAGTCATAAAAGAGCCAAGGTTCCCTAACCCCTGGTATAAACAGTCCTTGACTTACGACTGTGATTGAGACTAGAATTCCCACTGTCAAGCAAGGCGCTTGCTCAACTATCTTGCAAATGGTTCCTAAGGGAATCACTGCAGTTGTTGAATGTTGAATCCCATGGGCGTTAAGCAGATCTGGCTTCCCTCATTGATTCTGCTTGTCGGAAGTACAAGTCGGTGGCCGAGAACTCGAATTTAGATCACAGAATCAAAAGTTCTGGCCTTCTTTCCTTACCAAGGATGACACCAAGGCGGAACTGGAGACGCTGGGGACTTTGTCGACTATGGCTTGCTTCATGTATCTCTCGATGGCCTGGAGCATCGTTCCCTGGGAAAGCGGGAAGAAGGGAGGTGAGGCAGACTTCTAAATGGCACACTGGCCAGAAATGAAAGAAGGTAAAATTACACTGAAGACTAGAAGACCTCCAAGGTCCCTTCCAACTTATTCTATTCTATTCTATTCTATTCTATTCTATTCTATTCTATTCTATTCTATTCCATTCCATTCCATTCCATATTTTCTATTCTATTCTATTCTATTCTATTCTATTCTATTCTATTCTATTCTATTCTATTCTAGTCCATTCCATTCCATTCCATTCCATATTCTATTCTATTCTATTCTATTCTATTCTATTCCATTCCATTCTCTATTCCATTCTATTCTATTCTATTCTATTCTATTCTATTCTATTCTATTCTATTCTACTCTACTCTGTTTTCTATTCTATCCCATTCCATTCCATTCTACTCTATTCCATTCCATATTTTCTATTCTATTCTATTCTATTCCATTCCATTCCATATTTTCTATTCCATTCCATTTCACTCCATTCCATATTTTGTATCCTATTCTATTCTATTCTATTCTATTCTATTCTATTCTATTCTATTCTATAGACTACCTGTTAAAAGAATCTGAAGCTGGGGGTAAGATCAGCTGGGGTTCAAAATCTCTTCCATGAACCAGAACACCCCTTCCTTTCATCACCCTCTTTCACAAGGGGAAAAAACTCCGTACTCACATCCGTGATCCGACATAGCGCGCGAATCGCGGGGCCTCGATAAAGGTCTTCTTTCCCCGTCATATCTTTCGTTAGGCTAGAACAGACAAGGCAAGCCGGCATTAACTGAGACATCAGGGGTCCTGGGGTTTATATACATACATACATACATACATACATACACACACACACATATACACATATACACACATACATATATACATATATATATTTTTCAAAATTTGGATTGCTAACAGAACTGGAATGGCCATTTCGAACTTTTTAGTTCTTTTCAACCAGACATACCCTTCTGAGATTCGAACCTGGGCTGTCTGCATGTTAGGCAGATGTATTAACCTCTAGGCCACAGGTTCTGTTTTCAGAAGTGGTTTGCTCTTGTTTCCTTCCTAGGGCTGGGAGAAAGTGACTGGCCCAAGGCCACCCAGTGGTTTTCCTTCTAAAGCGGGACTAGACCTCATTGTTTCCTGGTGACTGGCCCAAAATCACCCAGCTGGTTTTCATGCATAAGATGGGACTAGAATTCCCAGTCTCCTGGTGGCTGGCCCAAAGTTACCCAGCTGGGTTTTTATGCATAAAATGGGACTAGAATTCCCAGTCTCCTGGTGACTGGTTCAAAGTCACCCAGCTGGTTTTTATGCATAAGATGGGACTAGGATTCCCAGTCTCCTGGTGATGGGCCCAAAGTCACCCAGCTGGTTTTCATGCATAAGATGGGACTAGAATTCCCAGTCTCCTGGTGACTGGCCCAAAGTCACCCAGCTGGTTTTCATGCATAAGATGGGATGAGATCTCACCATCTCCTGGCAATTGGCCCAAAGACACCCAGCGGGCTTTCTTGTCTAAGGTGGCTCTAGAACTCCTAGTGATTGGTCCAAAATCACCCAGCTGACTTTCGTATCTAACATGGGACTAGAACTCCCAGCCTCCTGGCGATTGGCCCAAAGTCACCCAGCCGGCTTTCATTCCTAAGGTGAGACTAGAACTCACCCTCTCCTGGTGATTGGCAAAAGTCCCCCAGCCGACTTTCCTGCCTAAGGCAGAGCTAGAACTCACCGTCTCCCACTTTCTAGTTGGAGGCCTTAACCACTACCTCAAACTATCTCTTGCCAATAGCCTGTTAGCTTAATTAAAGTATTAAAACAGAGGGATACGTGGCTTTTCTAAGACAAATGTGTCTGCTGAAGATTTGTAAAGGGCACCCAGGAGACCGAGCGGTGATTGCAGCGCGCCTTATGCAGGATAATTGGTTCTCCAGGTGACGCCGGATGCGAGAAACAGGCTTGTTCCAACCGGCAGAAGATGATCCCTTGGGGGACCGAACCGATCCTGTAATGGGATCTAGAGGCTTCTGGGTGGAAAACAGAGTTGCCCCCCCTCCCAGATTCTTCCTCCCAGCGGAAATACCGACGCTTCTAGCCACGGAATCAACACAGGTACCTGCTGGTGACGATGATCACGTCCTCGGAAATGTTGGCCATCTCTTTGATGGTCAGGTAGCACATTCTCCGTAAGGTTTGCTGCGGAAAGACCCGGAATGAAAAGCTGAATTTTTCCAAGGGGTTGCTGACCCGCTGTGGTTTGATCCTGGTGGTCCACAAGACCTCCCTAAGGGCCTTAAGAGCGGGGTGGGGTGGGGAGGGTCCAATCACGACCGCTTTAAGACTTGTGGACTTCAGCTTGCTGTCTGGGGAATTCTGGGAGTTGAAGTCCACAAAGGAAGAACATTGCCAGCGGTCACCAAGCCAGGAAGAGGAAAACAAGGATCTTAGCGAAGATCCAATCTCTCAGGGGCTGCCCCAAAGAAGAGGGAGTCAAGCTATTCTCCAAAGCGCCTGAAGGCAGGACAAGAAGCAACGGATGGAAACTAATCAAGGAGAGAAGCAACCTGGAACTGAGGAGAAACTTCCTGACAGTTAGAACAATTAACCAGTGGAACAACCTGCCTCCAGAAGCGGTGAATGCTCCAACATTGGACGTTTTTAAGAAGAGACTGGAGAGCCACTTGTCTGAAATGGTATAGGGTTTCCTGCCTGAGCAGGGGGTTGGACTAGATGACCTCTAAGGTCCCTTCCAACTTTTATTATTATTATCATTATTATCATTATTATTATTATTATTATTATTATTAGAAACCACTCACATCGTTGGACTGGAATAATCTGGTCATTGCAAAGAAGGCTTCCGTGGCTTCCAGTGTCCCGAAATGTTCACCCTTATGGAAGAGAAGGGAGGAATCAACGTGCACATTAGGCCAGGGCTTGAACCAGTTGTCCCCTCCCCTGGTCTCAGCTTAGGTGATCGCCCCACAAACCCCCCCCAAAACAGCCCCAATCGTTTCAGACTAGCTTTTGGGCTGCAACAGGAACCACCGGGCTAAGGAGACACATCTCAAACTTCAAGAATACTAGCGAAAAGGTAACGGTGACCTTGGGTCTGTTTCGCTTCCTGTGGATTTAATGGACCCGTCCATGCGGGTGTTTCAGGGGTAGAAAAAATATAGGCAACCTTTAGACCAGTCACCAGGAGACGGGGAGTGATAGTCCCGCCTTAGGTATGAAAGCCGGCTGGGTGACTTTGGGTTAGTCACCAGGCGACGGGGGAGTTCTAGAGTTCTAGTCCCACCGTAGGCATGAAAGCTGGCTGGGTGACTTTGGGCCAATTACCAGGCGATGGGGAGTTCTAGTCCCGCCTTAGGCATGAAAGTTGGCTGGGTGACTTTGGGCCAATCACCAGGCGACGGGGAATTCTAGTTCCACTTTAGGCATTGAAGCTCACTGAGTGACTTTGGGCCAATCATCAGGCAACAGGGAGTTCTAGTCCCACCTTAGGCATGAAAGCCGGTTGGGTGACTTTGGGCCAATCACCAGGCGACAGGGAGTTCTAGTCCCGCCTTAGGCATGAAAGCCAGCTGGGTGACTTTGGGTTAATCACCAGGTGACAGGGGAATTCCAGTCCCGCCTTAGGCACGAAAGCCAGCTGGGTGACCTTGGTTCCAATTACGACGAGGCGGCGAGTTCTAGTCCCGCTTTTTAGTCACGAAAGGTGGCTGGCTGACTTGGGGCCCATCCCTCCTTTTCAATCCAGCCCCACCCCAGCAGGTTGTTGTAGGGCAGTGGTTCTCAACCTTTTTAATGCCGCGACCCCCAACCAATTGTAAGTCGAGGACTAAACCGGTCTAAGTCGAGGACTAAACCGGTCGTAAGTCGAGAACTAAACCGGTCGTAAGTCAAGGACTACCCAACCGGTCGTAAGTCGAGGACTTTCCCTGCCCAGGAGCGCCGCGCATGCGTGGTTCCGCCCCCTGCGCCGGCCGAGGCATAGCTGACAAGCGGCAGAGACGGAGCAGGCCGACCACCAGCTGGCCCAGCCCAAGGGAGGTAAGGCACCCGCCGGAAAAGGGGGAAAAATGGCGGACAAAAAAAATGGCGGACAGCCTTGCTTGGCGACCCCCGTGAAATGGTCGATCGACCCCAAATGGGGTCGCGACCCATAGGTTGAGAACCGCTGTTGTAGGGGAAAGACAAGGAGGAAAGGATAATTTGGGATGTGTGCCGGTTTGAACTATTTATGACAATGAGAAAGGCGGGAAGTAAATAAATATATAAAACCGCCCTCTTCGTTTTGCAAAGAGCGACAGGACAGAAGCGATGAACCGGAGAGGGGGAGAAGAGGAACGTCGAGTCAGAGGAACCTCAAAAATAGACGAGGGTCTTGCTGGAAAGCCGGGGTGTGTGTGTGTGTGTGTGTCAATGGAGGGGTCAACCAATTTCTCCTGTTTACATTAGGACTTCTCTGCAACCCTCATTCCCTGCCCTGGTCTTCCTTTGACCTTACGGGAAGACTTGGGAAAAGGGTGACCCAGATTACCCCATTCCTTGTGCCCCCCTCTTAAAATAGGAACCCTGCTCTGGTGCCTAGCTTCAGGGAGGCTGCAATAATTCCCTCCCACCCACCCACCCAGAACCTTCATCTCCTTCCACACAAGCCGGCTCAGATGGAAAAGCGCAAGTCCGCAGCTAGTCCTGCACGGAAACAGCTGCATGTTACCTGGTTCAGCAAGTAAAGGATCTTGGTTAGTATGTGCAGGCATCTCCGTGGATTGATGGGCGTCTCGTTGAAAATGCGGGCCTGGAGGGGAAAGAGAAAATCAAGGCCTTCAAATCGGAGGAAACGCTGTTTTCGATGTACGAGCGGAAGCGTAGAGTCGAACTCGGGGGTAGTCAGAGTCCCATCGTGCTGACGTTTCCCGTGGGACCCTGGGTCCAATTCTGGACCCCACCCTTCGAAAAGGCCGTCGATAAACTGGAGCACAACAGGGAAAGAGCCACCACGGAGAAGGCCCTTCTTCTAGGTCCCACCAGGTGGACCTCCTTAAGGGAGGGGACCCCTAACATCTGATTTCCAATCTTATCTCCGCAGGGATGATGATCAGGTGGGCCACCACAGAGAAGGTTCTTCTTCTCGGTCCCACCAGGTGGACCTCCTTAAGGGAGGGGACCCATAACATCTGATTTCCAATCTTATCTCCGCAGGGATGATGGTCAGGTGGGCCACCACAGAGAAGGTTCTTCTTCTCGGTCCCACCAGATGGACCTCTTTAAGGGAGGGGACCCCTAACATCTGATTTCCAATCTTATCTCCACAGGCATGGTGTTCCTCAGGGAGGGAGCCACCACGAGAAGGTCCTTCTTCTTGGTCTCACCAGGTGGACCTCCTTAAGGGAGGGGACCCCTAACATCTTATTTCCAATCTTATCTCCGCAGGGATGATGGTCAGGTGGGCCACCACAGAGAAGGTTCTTCTTCTCGGTCCCACCAGATGGACCTCTTTAAGGGAGGGGACCCCTAACATCTAATTTCCAATCTTATCTCCACAGGCATGGTGTTCCTCAGGGAGGGAGCCACCACGAGAAGGTCCTTCTTCTTGGTCTCACCAGGTGGACCTCCTTAAGGGAGGGGACCCCTAACATCTTATTTCCAATCTTATCTCCGCACGGATGATGGTTAGGTAGGCTACCACGGAGAACGTTCTTCTTCTGGGTCCCACCAGGTGGACCTTCTTGAGAGAGGGGACCCATAACATCCCCTGCATCCCTGCTCTGTTATTTAATTTGATTTTAAAACAGAAATTTGTATATTTATCGTGGTTTTTATTATCGCCTGTTCACCGCCCTGAGTCCCGTAAGGGAGATAGGGCGGTATATAAATTCAATAAATAATAATAATAATAATGTAGACTGGGAAAATAAGGTCCTTCAAATAACAGGGAAGGAGCCACCACAGAGAAGGCCCTTCTTCTGGGTCCCACCAGGTGGACCTCCTCAAGAGAGGGGACCCATAACATGTGATTTCCAATCTTATCTCCACAGGGATGATGTTCCTCAGGGAGGGAGCCACCACGGAGAAGGCCCTTCTTCTTGGTCCCACCAGGTGGACCTTCTCAAGAGAGGGGACCCATAACATCTCCTGCCTCCCTGCTCTGGTGGGTCAAGTCGACTGGGAAAATAAGATCCTTCAAATAACAGGGAAGGAACCACCACAGAGAAGACCCTTCTCCTGGGTCCCACCAGATGGACCTCCTTAGGAGAGGAGACAAGCAATTACAAAAAAAACAAAAAATGTGGTCTGCTTTGCACCCCAACCACAGTCACGGCACGTGAGATGGACGGCCATAAAGACAGGACCCACAAAACAGAATAAAGTCGAGGAAGACCCCCACCATACCTCCTGAAGGATCGCGCTTTTCTCCAAATGTTGGAACGGGTTCGAGCCGCTACCTGAAGAAGACAAGAATACACGACGTGAGCCTAACATTTTTCAAAGAAGAGGGATTTGCAAAGCTCCCTTAGATACTTTCGGGAATGCCAGGTCAGACCCTCCCATCACCACGGGACGGATGCTGGTTTGCAATGTGAAAAGGCACAAGAAATAAGAATCCTACATGAAAGCGACGAGGCAAAACAGGTGTTTTTGGGCTTGTGAATTCTTTCTTTCCAAGTCTTGAACTGTCTACACCAGGGGTAGGCAACCTTGGCTCTTTTATGACTCGTGGACTTCAACTCCCAGAATTCTGGGGGTTGAAGTCCACGAGTCATAAAAGAGCCAAGGTTGCCTACCCCTTGTCTACACTATCAAAAGTGAAATGACATTGTAATACGACTCTGTACAAGTATCAGAGGGAATGAGGGATTGCGAGATTGGCTGGGAAACTGTCACAGAAGGTTGAAAAATGAAGATTGTGTGACTACAAGCAGCAGCCAGCAGCACTGAAGCAGCCACCATTTCCCCAAATTTCATTCCCTTAGGAATGAAAGATTTTGGGACATATTCTGTACATTAGCACGTGGTTCAAAAATAGTTGCCCTGAGAGACGTTGTGAAAGGTGAAAGGTCATGACAAGGTGAAAGGTCATGTAGTATATTACAGATAGTCCTCAACTCACAGTTCCTCTCCTAGTCAACCTGGCGGTGTTTGCCACACAAGGACCTTGTGACCCCAAATGCTTGGCAGTAAGACAGGTGTGGATGGTCTCTGAACCTGGGGTCCCTCATTTGTAGTTTAGTGTTGATTGAGACAATGGGAATTCAAGTCTAGTCTGAACCACGGAGACTATCTGGGAGACTTTGAGTCAGTCCCCCCCTTTTAATCCAAGAGTTAGGATCACTTTGGGGAAGGGGCTGGTCTAGAGAGGGTCCGTCTTTGCTCAGACACGGAAGGTCTTGTAGGAAAAGAAGAAGCAGAGGCTGGGGGTGGAGTCAAGAGAGGAATCAGCCTGGAATCATTACATTGTCACAAAGGGTCTGAGTCCAATCCTCCTTGAATTACACTGACTTTTATCTAGAGCCAATTTAGTGCTGACCGTCAGTTGACCAGATTCTTCTGCACAGGCATGAGTAATAAGTCTTCTGAACTGGACATTATGTGTAATCCTGATTCTTCATGCTGGTCAGGTGATAGTTGCACCTGGAAGACCTGAAGAAACAGGTTGAGGACAGATCGTCCTGCGGAAAAGCTACGTGGTGGCTAATCACTCGAAGTCTTTACCTGAGATTGTGTAATGTATAAAACCAGAGTTTTGCACGGCAGGAGAAACATAAAAGGACGTTGGACGTAGTTGCAATGAGGCATTGAAGCAGTGTGTAGGGCAGTGTTTCTCAATTTCCTCTGCTTGAAGAGGGGTGGACTTCAACTCCCAGAATTCCCCAGCCAGCATTTATTGGGATTTAACAATCCTGCTACGATTGGTACGGATCAAAGTGCCCGGAAGTAGTTGGCACACAACCAGCAAACAATTATAGTCCACGAAGGCACGCCTCTGATCCATGGGGAATTCTGGGAGTTGAAGTCCACAGGTCTTAAAGTGACCAAGGTTTCATACCTCCTGATCCTCAACTTACAAAAGTTCATTTAGTGACCATTCAAAGTTACAATGGCACCCCAAAAAGCGACTGAGGACCGTTTTTCACACTTACGACCGTCGTAGCCTCCCCATGGTCACGCGATCAAAATCCGGACGCTTGTCAACGGGTTCGTATTTACGACGGTTGCAGCGTCCCGGGGTCAGGCGGTCCCCTTTTTGCGACCTTCCGACGAGCCAAGTCCATGGGGGAAAGCCAGATTCACTGAACCACCGGGGTTGCTAATTTGTCAACTGCAGTGATTCGCTTAACGACTGAGGCAAGAAAGGTCGTAAAAGCGGGGTAAAAACTCACTTTAACCCAATGTCTCGCTCGACCGCAACAATTTTGGGCTCCATTGTGGCCGTACGTCGAGGACGTATAAAGACTCCTGCCTTGGGGAAGGGGGTCAGACTAGATGACCTCTAAGGGTCCCTTCCTTAACAAGAATTCTAGGAGTTAAATCCTGGGCTTTTTTTCTTTGCAAGACAACCAGCATTGAGGGGCGGGGGTCCCGGTTCAGCCCCAGCTCTCCCCCAACCCAGCTTCACCCCTTGCCCCAAAGAGACCCTCCTCTAACACGCGTTTCCCATCTATTTTGGGGGGGGGGAGTTTTATTGCTGGCTGCTAAGTAACACACCTGAGAAACGCACAGAGGCAACACAGGGACCCCTCAGCCCAGGGACCCCGACCTGGGCCCCCAGGAGCCCCTTGACCCAGAAGGTCCAATCTGCCGGCCCGCTTTGCATGGCCCCCCAAACAGATGCAGCGCGCCCGTTCAGACGTGCAATGAAAAAGTGGGTTTGTGGCAACCCGGAGGGGGGAGGTAGCTAAGCCGGAACAGCTTCTTCTTTCCCCTTGCTCCTAATGCCACGCCCTCCCTGACCACGCCCCCAAACTCAGCTAACTGCTTCGAACCTCTCAGGAGAGAATGCGTGAGCCACGCCCCCTAGGGGCGGAGCAAATGGGTCTCTCAGAGGGAATCAACGGGGTTGACAGCCCCGCAGGGAAGGGACTCCTCAAATCTGCCTAGCAACCGCTTTAACATAAATCAGGGTGACTCCTACCGGACTCCTCATCTTTCTTGTCGAACTTCTTGATCATGGCGACGGCGACGGCAGCGGCCGGTTGGCTCCCCGCCGCTCACTTCGGCCTCCCCCGCTAGGTCCGCGGACAGGAAATCCCGCCCCGTCAAACGGTCGCCTCCCGGCCAACCTTCTAGGACGTCAGCGGCTCGCGGGGATGACGCTCAAGCGGTGGGGCCGGCCTTCCTCGGCAACGTCACACGCGCGCCTCATTTTTCCGCCCCCTTATTTGCATGAGCCGCGCCCCCTTTTTCCACGCCCCCTCGCCATAAAGGAGCGCGGACTTTTCGGGGAGGAGCCGTAGACGCCCCCTACAGGTGGCCTCATTGCCAAATGTTCCTCAAGCTTAGCAACATTTGACGTAAGGACTTCAACTCCCAGAGTTCCCTAGTCAGCATGGCTGGCTAGGGAATTCTGGGAATTGAAGTCCAGACGTGTGAAAGGAGGCCGGCTGGGGAATTCTGGGGGTTTGAAGTCCACCCATCTTAAAAATGATTTATTTATACTAGGGGTCTTCAAACTTGGCCCTTTGATGACTCGTGGACCTCAACTCCCAAATTCCTCAGCCAACGTCCATTTTGTTTGTTAGATTTAAGACAGGGGTCTTCAAACTTTGCTCTTTTATGATTTGTAGACTTCAACTCCCAGAATTCCTCAGCCAGCCTCCATTTTGTTTGTTAGATTTAAGACAGGGGTCTTCAAACGTGGCCCTTTGATGACTTGTGGACTTCAACTCCCAGAATTCCTCAGCCAGCNCAAACACAGGCTGGGTTCATGGAACGTAATTAAACTCCAATGCCAAATTAATTGTCTTTTTGGCTTCGCGAAACCAACCGAGAGAGGCACTTAGCCTGGGAGTACGGATTTATATAGCTGTAAACCAAGAAAGTGCGTCTGGTAGTTCTGAAACAAACCTGGATAAGTTAGGTTGTGTAAACTAGTATTCTCAGAGTCTAGCCCAGTGTTTCTCAACCTTGGCAACTTGAAGAGGTATGGACTTCAACTCCCAGAATTCCCCAGCCAGCTGTGCTGGCTGGGGAATTCTGGGAATTGAAGTCCATACCTCTTCAAGTTGCCAAGGTTGAGAAACACTGGGCTAGCCTTTGGGGGCAGGAGGAGGTGAAGAGAGCCATTGCGTTGTTGGAAGCTAGCTTTCTTTCTTTCTCTTTTTCTTTCTTTCTTTCTTTTTTCTTCCTCCCTTTCCTTCTCTTCTCTTCCCTTTTCCTTCCTTCCTTCCTCCTTCTTTGCTTTTCTTCCTTCCTTCTTTCCCTTCCTCCCGTCCTTCCTTTTTCTCTCCTTCCTTCCTCCCTCTTTCCCCTTCCTTCCTTCCTTCCTTTCCTCCTTTGCTTTTCCTTTCCTCCTTCCTTCCGTCCCTTTTTCTCTCCTTCTTTCCTCCCTTTCCCCTTCCTTCCTTCCTTCTCCTTCCTTCCCTCTTCCCCTTCCTCCCGTCCTTCCTTCCCTCCTCTCCTTCCTTCCTCCCTCTTTCCCCTTCCTTCCTTCTCCTTCTTTCCCTTCCTCCCGTCCTTCCTTCCCTCCCTTTTTCTCTCCTTCCTCCCTCTTTCCCCCTTCCTTCCTTCTTCTTTGCTTTTCCTTCCCTCCGTCCCTTTTTCTCTCCTTCCTTCCTCCCTCTTTCCCCTTCCTTCCTTCTTCTTTGCTTTTCCTTCCTTCCCTCTTCCCCTTCCTCCCATCCTCCCTTCCCCCTTTTCTCTCCTTCCTTCCTTCCTTCCTTCCTTCCTTCCTTCCTTCCGAGTTGCAACCACAACTGAGCCCAAAATGTACGTTGCTAAGTGAAACATTGGTTAAAGTGAGCTTTGCCCCGTTCTACGGCCTTCCTTGCCGCACCTGTTAAGCGAATCACACCTGTAAACCCACTTTACAACCTTCCTCCATCTGGGTAAGTAAAGTGCTGCCGTTGTTAAGTTAGCAACACAGTCGTTAAGCGAATCCGGCTTTCCCCCCCCGTCGACTTTGCTAGTCAGAAGGTCGCAAAAGGGGATCGCGACACTCCCACTCCCCCCCCGGGACACGGCCACCGTCGTAAATACGAACCAGTGGCCAAGCGGCTGAATTTTGATCACGTGACCACGGCGGGGGGAATGCCGCGACGGTTGTTAAGTCTGCAAAAGGGTCCTAAGTCCCTTCCTTCAGTGTTGAGCGGTCGCTAAATGAGCGTTGTAAGTCAAGGACCGGAGCTCTTAAAGAGGAAAATCGCAAAATAGCAACGGGTCCACAAAGGCCCCCTTTTCACCCTTTCTGTGGGGGCAAAGCAACAACTTTTTGTCGTTCTCGGGAAAAAAACCCTATCTACAAGATTTCAACTTTTATTAATGAAGTACAAAGAAGCGGATTATTGCGTCTCATAATAACGTCGAGGGATTTTTTTTTTCCCCTGCCCCAACATGATCCGAGAGCCGTACGTAACGCCTTTCTGTCAACCCCGGAGATTCCCAAATCCTCACTCAAGCGTTAATTATTATTATTATTATTATTATTGGCTTTCGTTCTAACTGGGAAGATTAAAAAAGAGGGGGCTACAGCGGGAGCAGGATGTCTAGCAAAGTACGACATGTTCTAGTCCTGGAAGAAGAGGAGATTGTAAATTTTTAAAAAATAACAACAATGATAATAATGGCACGAGAATCCTGATGCTAAACCAGGGGTAGGCCACCTTGGCTCTTTTATGACTGGTGGACTTCAACTCCCAGAATTCCTGAGCCGGCCATGCTGAGGGGAAAGGGAGAGGTTTCCATGCTTAGCCAGTCTGGCTCAGGAATTCTGGGAGTTGAAGTCCACCAGTCATGAGGGGGTGATAAGTCCCCCATGCTGGCTCAGGAATTCTGGGAGTTGAAGTTCACCAGTCATAAAAGAGCCAAGGTTGCCTACCCCTGGCCTAGGAGGCTCACCGCTTAGAACAGGAGGACTTAGGACAGGGGTAGGCAACCTTGGCTCTTTTATGACTCGTGGACTTCA